ACAGGGTCTACAAATTTGAGTTTTTTTGTCATAAACAGGGTACCCCTTTCAGAATCCCAGTGGAACACCCCTACCCAAATTCTGGCAGAGTACCCCCCTGGGCTTTGAGAAAATGGTACACTTTTCCTCCCTTCTGGTTAGATAAGTTGAAAAAAAATTGTGAGATCACTGAGGACTGAATGGCAGACCTCTTGTGTTGCTGGAAGCATAACTTGGCCAAACTTGCACCATGTAAATAATGATGAGCCCTTGATGCTTTGCAAGATAAGATGAAAACAAGTTTGTCATTAAATACCTCTCTTTGTTCACTGCACAGCATACAAAGCCAGATTGGTTGACCTGCACTGTTATGAGTATCAACACCACACTTTTCACAAACGTTCTATTAAACAGGAACATCAAAAAATATTAATTAAGTAATAGAACAAAGGAGGTACATGTGGGAATAAAAAATTACTTGACGGAATGATAGATTTATATATGAATAAACAAATAGTCCAGTAGACAGATGAACAGGGAATAGATGGATGGAGTGACTGATGGTAGACTGATATAAGTGGATGGATGGTTGATGGGAGGGAGGGATGGGTGGATGGGAAAGAAAGGATGGAAGACAAATGGATAGACATGATAATAATGAATGGAGTGAGATAGGGAGAGAGGGATGGGGACAGGGCAGAGGGTGAATGAATGTTTGTACATAAATAAGATACAATTTGCGGCAATGGATGGATGAATGGATGAGTGAGGGAGGGCACAACAGATGGATTAATGAGATGTGATGCAATATAATTATGTGTGATGAATTGATGGGTGGGAGGGATGATGACAATCAGAATTTCACTCTTTTTTTTATTCCTGTAATAATTTCCATCATAGTTTACCTTTTCACAGGTATCACACTCTTTAGCAACAGTCTTCAGGACACCAAACTTGCTGGCACACAGAAGACAGAAGTCGTTTCCATTACCCTTTGCATTCTTACGCAGGTTTTCCAGTTTCTCAACCAGCCGTCTGCAAATTACAACCAGATATCAGGGGCATAGCAAGGTCTCACTTATGGGGGGGGAGGGGGGAGGGGGGAGGTGAGCAATGTACCATTTCCCCACCTAATCCATAGGAATCCTGCATGAAGTAATAATTGCGGCACGTACCTCCAGCCTCCCCCACCCTACGCTAGTGCAAAACATAATAACCAAAATAAATTTTAACTCTCAGTAAAGCTGTAATTTGAGGTACGGGTCATGAAGACCACAAAATAAGGTACCATCTTTATCACTGAGTAGTAACTATTAGGATATCATAAGGCAAAAATAGAAAAGGATAATATACGTTTTTGGAAGAGAATAAAGTTAAAAAAATAAATAAGAGGCCCTGCTTACTCCAACACTCACACAATCTAAACCAATCAGAATATAGAGTGAAAAATTGAACCAATCAGAAGAGAGCAGAATCAATGGGGTATTGACCTCACGAATCTTAATGCTTCATCAATCCCTATGAACTGTAATGGTAACATCTAAGTTTTTATTCAGATTTCAGTTGGCAGCCGAAAAAATGCTTGCCTTTGATTGGCTCAAGCAACCTGGTATATACTATTGCAATACGTCAACTTTTTAAGAGCAGTTCAGGTCAGGTTGTTACCTTTGCAGTAAAATATAAAATAGACTCAAAAATTTAACTAAATCCTCCCAATCAATGCATTCTTAAATAAACATTAAAAAAACTGTTTTCATTGTTTAGCATTAACCATTAAGGTATTACGATACGTTTACGACCACTATGCGCGCAAACTTAAATAACGCGCTTGCTTTATAGTATAACACAAACAAAGCATGCATTTTCTGAAAGCTGAATAAACATAGTTTATAAAGCAATCTTCAAAATACGATTTTTTAAATTGTTGTTCACGTTATTGTCCTCGAAGCGAAATTTGACCATGCCTCAGTAAAAACGTTAACGGACACGTACATTTTAAGCTATGTTTGCGAAAAATGTCATAACATACTCAGGAGATAATAAGCTCAAAAAGGGTGTCCCAGATTTTTGATATCTGTTTTATGTCTCTTGCTATTTTTGATCAAAGTTCGATGATTGCTTTTGGAGTGTTGTTTAGAGTAAAAAGCGTCATAACTTTGGAAAGAAATTAAATTTCAAAAATCGGAGACACCCTTTTTTGGGTTATGAGTTTCTTTTTAAACTCTCCAAATTTTAGAAAAATCGAATGAAATCCAAGGGCCTTTTAGCT